AAGGGGGGGTTATCCACGGGTCGGTACGACCGGATCTGTCCCTGCGGTGGAGAGACCGTTGGCCGCACGTTAGGCGCCTGGGAGGGATCGGTTCCTCAGGTAGCGTCCTGGTGCCTCGGGGTTGCCTCTGCCTGCTGGAGCTTCGCAGCAAACCCACCTAGCCCCCGTCCGTGGTCTCATCTGCTTTAAAGGGAGGGGTTTTTCGTATTTTTCTGTAGCGTTTCGGGTCATATTCCACAGCGACGCGGGAAGACACCCTCAGGAGCATGGGGAGTGGAGCCCGAGCTAGGAGAAGTCAGTGTAATGCTCTAAAGGTGTCATAAATAGCAGAGAAAGCTGCTGGTGTTCTCCTGCCAGGGACCTGCGGGCGGAGAATCTTCTCTCCAGGCATGGACTTTGTCGGGAAGAGGCCGTGAAGGCTGAGATGATACCTAACATAGCCATTTTGTGCTAAAATGCCTTTATGGTGATTTTTTTTTTCACTTAAAATCGCCCTCAATAAGCTCAGTATTGGTTACTCAGTTGACACAGAGCACAGCCAACATTATTTTCCTTTCTATCTCACAGTGAAGTGACAGAGCGTCTTTGTCCATTGCAGGTGATTTTAACCAGCGCTGATGTGCCCAGGAGCATGTGTGTGCATGTTCAGTGTCTTTCCAGGCATCTCCTCTGTCCTTTTCAATAGAAGAGATGTTTGAAAGTATATCTCAATTTTGTCCTGTTATTTTTGCCTCAGGGGAGATGGCTAATGTGAGAAAAGAGTGAGAAAAAAATTTAAAAAGAGACACATATAAGTAAAGTGAGAGAATCATTGAGTCTATTTTGGTTTTCTCATTCGTTAAATGGATTTATTTACTTTTCCTAAAACATGTTCTAAGGTTTAATACTTTAAATCAGAGACAATTGTAAGATAACATCTTTATCCTGAAGTTCAGTGTGTTTCAAAGGAAGCTGTACACCCTCAAAGGGAAGGGGAGGCATGGAGAAGTTAATGATGTGTCCAGACTCATTCAGCAAAGGGTGACAAGACAGGAATGGACTTCTGCATGGTGACTTAGGCCGGTGAGGTAACTGTTAGACAAAGTTGCTTTCCGGGTGGGTTAATGATTGCAGAATACTTTAATATTGTAAAGCACAATATTACTTTCTGGAGGCAAAATGTGAAGCACTGTGGGTGACACTGCAAGAATTTTTTTTTTTTCCCCCCTTTTAATTATCTTCCACAATCTGGAGACTCCACAGATCCCCATTAACTGTCTCTGGCTGCCCTACATATCTTAGGCAGGCTGTATCAGAGCGATCATTAATTAATCCCAGGGAGAAGCACTCATCTGTGCTAGTGAACTAGATCTTCATATTCCAACCTGCCTGCCATCCCAACTGAGCCGCAGGCCACCAAGGAAAATCCAGTGGGCCTCTCTGCTCATATGACTTGCTTGATCTCAGTGTTCTTCCCAGAGAGCACTATCAAATGATTTTTCTTCCCTATTAGGATAAATTGCTTGGTGTTTGGAATTTCTCAGTAGCCATAGAAATGCCATAAATAAGGGGCTGAGCACACGAGTTAAGGTTCTGTGAGTGAGGGTGGGAGGAGGAAGGGGAAAGGCATAAAAACTGGAGAGTAAGGAGGCGAGAAAAGGAGACATTCATTCTTTGGCATTCAATGGAGGGTAGCCCCTTCTGGTACAAAATCTATCCACAAAGAACAGAGCTGAGATAACCAGTGCTCACAGATATTTTCAGCAAGGTAATGGCTTCTTTTCACTGTTGTGTGTGTTGCCTTTGAACCAAGGATTCAAAGTGTACCTTTGTGTGAATTGATTTTACTCCAGTGGTTGAAATTCAAGATTATTTAAGCTGAAAAGAAGAAAATCTTATTAACTGAAATCAATTTTAATCTTCTCCTACGCTTGTACTTTCTTATTTGCAAAGCAATGTTAATTTTCTTTTATTGGTAGCATTAAAACATGTTGGTCTGTCACTACATGCAGCCATAGTGGTAAATTCAGTAAGCAGAAGGCTCTTCTTACATATTTATGTTATTCTATAAACTTAATGCTCAGGTTCTTAATTTTTATGTCTTAGGAAATAGTGTCTGATTAGACAGCTGATTATTTATTTATTTATTTATTCAGTATGTGTCAGCTTGCATTTGGAAGAAAATAAATCTGCATTTAAAGCCTTGGAGTCTTCATTTTCATTTTTTGAAGTTAAAAAATATCTGAACTTTTTTTTTCCTTGGTATATCTATCACTTAAAACATTAACCATTCAAAAATCAAAATGACACATTTAGGAAAAAGAATTAATCAGTAGTTTTTTTTCCAGTTGCCAGCTCCTTCAGACTTGTGGGATTAGCACATGTCATTCTTCAACATCTACTTTTTTATTTATAGATTGAAGAGGAAAAACTAGATTTCCTGTTTTTACAGCTCCCAGATTGTGTCTTGGCTTTGAATGAACTAGTTCAATTTGTTGAGATGAATAGGAAACTCTACATTTTCAGAAAAGGCTACTTTTGTCAAAAGCTGATTTTGTGCTTTGCCAGCCTATAGCTCAGCTATTCAGCTGATGACATCTGCCAGTCCAGTATGCTGCCATGCTTTAAAAATCCTGGCAGTGGTATGTACTGCCTTAATAATTCCCTATAGCCTGCTGTCTGTCAGGGGTTCTGTGCTCTCCCATGGCTCGTAATCTGTGTTGGCAAGGGGGAAGGTCTCAGAGTTGTTAAATACCAACCTGATGTGAGAAAACAGATGGCTCCAAACGGGAGAGAAACCTCTGCAGGATCCAAACCCCAGGAGAGGTATCCCTGGGGCCAGGAGTCCACAAGGAGGTGAGAGCAGAGATTTAATGAAAAGCATCTCAGTGCCAGAAATAAAACCTTAAGGTCAAAGACAATTTCTGGCAGAGGTTTCTGCTAGTTAGCCTTCAGAAAAAAACAGGCTTGCACTCCAGCAGCCTATGCTTTCCCAGAACCCCACTCCTATGGATGCTCCAGGTTCGTATCTTTCTTCTCCTGGGATACCAAATTGCACGAAGTGTAACAACAATAATTTCTTCCCCCCCCATACCTATTACAAGAAATGCCTGGATTGAGCCAAAACCAAATGAAAACCAGTGTGAGTTTCTGCTTCCTTACCTCTCTGGACCCTTCTTTGGGATTACGCTAAAGGCCTCTTTGGAAATCCCTGCTACTTTCACCTCCTGTCTGTGCATTCTCTCCTGTGGCTGTTTCTCCTTTCATCATCTCTCACCAACAAGTGAGAGCCTTTCTGTTTCATGGCTTCTGGTTTCCATGTCAGAACACCTCCTGGTCAGCCCCAGCTGATGGTCAGGCTCTCTGGTCGATTCATTTCTTTAGGGACTTCCCCTCCGGAAAGGTACTTTACTCTCAGTGGTATCTCGGGGGATTTCAGTCTAATGAGGAGATAATCAGGAATTTACAACCTTTCATCATTATCCCTAGGAATTTCACTCCAGTGATTAAAAAAAATACAGGACATACCGAAGACAGACACCCCACTCAAAGCAGAGTTTGTAGTCGTGCAAGATGTAGAATATCAGCATCAAACAGTTTGAAACTGGTACATAGCTAGATTTTCTAAATAATCACACACCTCACTAATACCATACTAATGATACTGAAGCATTCACTTGTCTGCAATTGAAAGTGCTGCATTTTTAATACCCTGGCATCGTGGATCTGTACCTATACTTGTATCCAA